AGAATCTCAACAAGTACAAGCCCAGGAATGTAGTTTTGTTTACAGGTAGAAGAGCTCTTGGCAGAGAAGGGAAAGTGTGGGCTTCGGAGCCAGGCTGACCTGAGGTCAAATCTTAGTCCCTTCTTGGAGCCTGACTGATTAAACTTTGTTTCCTCAGGAAATGGGATAACAGTGCTTCCCCCAGAACTGTCGAAAGGCTTGGAGCTCATCTGCATAAAAGAGCCTAACAGTGCCTGGTACATAGTATGCACTCAGTTACCTGTAGCTGCTATTATGGAATATTTTGTTTTCATGTATTTTTCATTTACTTTTTAAGACTTTCTTAGTGACAGCAAACTACAGAATTGTAAACCAGATTTTATCATACTTTAGTATTCTCTATACAAGCAAGTTTTTCAGTGTGTTAGGGTTTCTCATATACATTTTGCAAATTTGAAGTTCTTTTTCTCATTTTGTAATCACATTTTTAAATGACTAATTATATAAAGGTTTGATTAACAGAGCATAAAGCATTGTATTTATAGTTTTTTTAGGATAGATTTCCAAAAAGGGATATTATTAGATGAGATGTGGTATAAACATTTCTATGGCTCTTGAAAGATGCTGATGAATTTCTTTCTGGAGGGGCCATGCCATTTGTAGCAAAGGGAGGTCCAGGGTTATGAAACAGGTGACAAACCATCTTCCCTCCTGAGTCAATAACAAGTGTTGGGAATCACTTATGTTCTCTGGGTCCACTGCACTGGAAAAATCTTTCACAACACAGCATTCCGGGCAGACAAAACAAACTGAGCGAGGTTGGTACATACAAAGAAATGTCTTTGTCATGCCTGGTATAAATAAGCATTTGAACAACTTTACCAGCAATGGGTGGGTAGCTCATTTAAAACAAACCAACAAAAACGTTTGCCTATTTGATAAGCCAAAAAAGTGATTCTTTGCTAACTAATGAATTTTCCATATATGCTTTTAAATTTCTTTGTGAACAATCTAGGCCCTTTGCCTATTTAGGTAGTGTGTCTTCGTGCCTTTTCATATTGATTTGCCCGAACTCACTTTCCTTTCTTTAAAAAATTTTTTTATTTAAATTCAATTTAGTTAACATACAGTATATTGTAAGTTTCAGGGGTAGAACTTCGTGATTCATCAGTTGCATATAACACCCAGTGCTCATTCCATCAAGTGCCCTCCTTAATGCCCATCGCCCAGTTACCCCATCCCCCCGCCCACCTCCCCTCCTGCAACCCTCAGTTTGTTTCCTGTAGTTAAGTGTCTCTTGTGGTTTGCCTCCTTCTCTCTCTCATTTATCTTCCCTTCCCCTATGTTCATCTTTTTGTTTCTTAAATTCCACATATGAGTGAAATCATACAGTATTTGTCTTTCTCTGACTGACTTATTTCACTTAGCATAATACCCTCCAGTTCTATCTATGTTGTTGCAAATGGCAAGATTTCATTCTTTTTGATGGCTGAGTAACATTCCATTGTGTGTATATATATATATATATACCACATCTTCTTTCTCCATTATCTGTTGACGGACATCTGGGCTCTTTCCATAGTTTTTAATGTATGCATTTCTGAAGGATTGTTTCTCATTTTAAAGTAAACAACTCCTATTTTATAGAAAGGTAGAGCTCTCTTCCCTTTGCCCCCACAATGCCCCATACACCATGAACACCATTTTCTTATCATTTAAAAATAATTACTAGATTCATGAAAGTGGTTGCCTCTGGGGAGTAGTGGGGAAAAGTCTAGTTTTCACAGTACCTCTGCCTTTTCACTTTTCTACCCATGTGACTATATTACCTATTATAAGGTGTTTATAGTTTTCATAGAGCTGTGATCATTCTGTACGTGCAATAGCGTAGATCTTATTTTTCCACCCAGTCTTACGCCCTACACCCTGCCGTCTCACCTCTTTGTCTGTTAGCACCTTGTTAAGAGCTGCGCCAAGAGTTTTCCATGTCCGGCTCTCCTCTGTTGTTTGAATGTTTGACTTGTTCTGATTTTTCATAGTTGTAAATGACACTGCAGTGAGCATGTTGGTGCTTAAATGTTTTTCCAAATTGAGGATCCTTGCCCTCAGATAGGTTTTGCCAAACGGGAGTCTCTGGGCCAGGATGGGTGTGATTGTTTTAAGGTTCTTGAGACATACACCCAAGCTCCTTTGAAAACATTACACCAGTTTGCACTGCTGCCTGTAATGTGATGGCGTGTGTTCCACACATCCTTGTTGGCGTTATGTATTAACAGCGTTTTTCTCCTTTGCTAATTTAATAGGGGAAAGGGCATCTAATTTTAATTGAATTTATTTAGTTCTTAAGGAGGTTGAACATTTCCCTCTAAGTTTGTTAAGCAATTATATTCTTCCTCTCTTTGCAGGATCTTTGTGGCTTTAATACCTTTCTATCAATTTAAGTAATCTCTATATAATAAATATATTAATTCTTTCTCTTCATTTTGGCCATGTTTTGCCCAAACTGGCATTTTCTTTGAATTATTTTTTGACAAGGTTTCAATTTTTATATAGTTCAATCCTTCTGTGTTCCAAGCCTACAAAACCTAAACTTCTCTGAACAGAGGGTTTTCATTATTTTATTTTCAAATCTATTTTAACTACTCTTTAATTGACTTTGATGTATTGTGTGAAGTCATCAAAATTACCCATTCTTAATTGCTCCAACATCAATTATTAGTAAATGATTCAGTCATGTTACTGTATAGTGTAGGATCTATTATCTGGACCATCTACTTTGTTTCATTGACTTGTCCTATTTTGTCTTAGATCTATAGTCTTCTTAATTTCTGTAGCCTTATATTTGAGTTTTCTATCATTGTACCTTTAAAAAGTGAATTTATGGGGCACCTGGGAGGCTCAGTCGTTAAGCATCTGCCTTCGGCTCAGGTCATGATCTCAGGGTCCTGGGATCGAGCCCTGCATCAGGCTCCCTGCTCCGCGGGAGGCCTGCTTCTCCCTCTCCCCCTGCTTGTGTTCCCTCTCAGTGTCTCTCTGCCAAATAAATAAAATCTTTAAAAAAATAAAGTGTATTTATATGTATGCATATTTGTATGAAAAATATATAATTGCTATTCTTCTGGATGAAAATTTATGTTTATTAATGTCTTTTGATGATTAGTGACATGAACTTATAAATAAATTAGAGAAAAAAAACATTGTTACATTTAATCTTAGCATCCAGGAACATATTGTCCTTTCAATCAAAGTTTATAGTTTACTTCTCATCAGGTCACAAGTTTTCCTTAGTCATTCCTACATACTGTTGCAGTTCTAGGTTTCCTTCTGTAGGGTTTTTCTTTTTTCTGTTAGAGTTCTCATAAAAAAAAGCCAGCATTCCAGGAATGGGGTTACTTCAGTGTTGCCCCACAGCATGCATTCAAGCCAACCAAACCCCTGACTTCCAGAAGCAGTTGGGGGCCAGAGATGCTCCTGAAATACTGATGTAAGCTGGGGACCCTTTCTCCAGGAAATCAGAGAAGCCTAGCAGTGTGCATGGGTATGTGTGTGTGTACTCACACACATACTTAGGAATATGACCAATGTGGGTCAGCCATGCCCCCACCTTAGCTTCAAATCTCTCCTCCCACTGACACTTCCAGTTGGGAAGCTCTGGGTTCAGTGCTGGTGCCCAGGCCATCAGGTCTCCTACAGGTGGGGTCTTGAAGGAGGAAAGAAGTACAGGACCCACTGCCATGGCACCTGGCCCACTTCAGCCTCTCGGGTAAAATGTTAGGCTTGGAATAAAGAGAAGGGACCTGAGCTGCAAAGAATCTCCACTATGATGTGTACCTGAGGGAGCCAGGTGGGCAGGATCGGGGAAAGTCATGAAGAGGAAGGGAGATAATCCTCAACAAAAGACCTCCCATTATGAGATCTTTGATTTTTCAAGAGATGCTGGAATGCTCAGTTTTTATGTGATGTCTCCCAATATTTTAATGGAGGCAACTCATTAAAAAAAAAAAACCCACTCAGGACCATAAAACATTTGTGGGCTATGTCTGGTCCATAGGTCCTATTTTGAGGCATCTGAATCACTATGGGCCAGATCTCCTGCTGCTTTCTAATCCTTTTGCCTTGACTAGGCAGGGCTTTAGAGTGAACAGATTGACAGCACACAGAGGTCAGGTCTTAATTCCTGGAACTTTTAAATGTTACCTTATTTGGAAAAGGGGGCTTTTCAGATGTGATCAAGGAGTTTGAGATGAAGAGATTATCTGGGTGGGCCCTAAATGCCACTAACATATCCTTCTAAGGAAGCAGAATGAGATCGAGATCTCTCTCTTCTCTCACACACACGATTTTAAGACTAGAATGATTCAGCCACAAAACAACAACCCCAGCAGCTGAAGAGGCAAGGAAGGATCGTTCCCTGGAGCCTCCAAATTATGGCCTTGCTGACATCTTGATTTTGACCCAGTGATACTGATTTCAGGTTTCTGACCTCCAGAACTGTGAAAGATGAAATTTCTATTTTAAGCCACCAGGTTTGTGGCAATTTGTTAAAGCAGTCACAGTTAACAATACATCTAGGAACATCTTAGAAATTCTGAGGCTCCATCCCAGACCTACTGAACCAGATTCTGGGAGTGGAGCCCAGCACCCTGTTTTAACAAGCCCTACAGGGGATTCTATTGAAAGCTAAAGTTCCAAAAACACTGGGTTGAAAAAGAGGTACCAGGCATTTTGTGCAAATGTGTTAATGGGGCCTGTGGCAGAACTGGAGGTAAGCTTGACCTAAAAGCATTCATGCATTTGCATGAAGTGCTTGAACCCCATAGGCATATGAGCTTTTCAACCTTATCCTGAACCAGTATTTCTCAAACTTCAGTGTACAATGAAGAGAAAGGTAATAAGCAAAACAAGGTGGTATGTGCTACAAAGAAAAAGATGGTAAATAGAGAGAGTGCCGATTGAGAGGGCTAATTTTAGACTGGGTGGTCCAAGAAAAGCTTTCTGAAGAGGTGGCCTTATGAAGTCAGCTAAGGAACAACTGGGGAAGACAGGGTTCTGGGCAGAGGGAACAGCATGTGCAAAGGTCCTGAGGTCAGAAAATAGCTTAACGTTGGGAGGTAGTGGTGGGAGACCAGTGTTGTCACAACCCGCTGGAGGAACTACATGTGTGCTGTGTGACTGTGCTTGGAGAGGAATCCTGAAATCTTGTGCCTGGTTTCCTCCAGACTTCACCCCATGCACCTCTTTGCTGGTTTTGCTTTGTATCCTTTTGCAATGATAACTCTTAGCCATGAGTATGACTATATGCTGAGTTCTTTGAGTCCTCTTACTGAGTCACCAAAATGGGGTGGTTTTGGGGACCCCTGAGACATGTCCCCATGACTGATGTATAATGTGATGTTTCAGACCTCTTGGGGTGAATGAAATCTGAAGGTTTCACGTGCATAGTATGTTTTACTAAGAACTGCTGGAAGTTAATTGCCACAAAGGTCTTCCTCACCCTCGCTGTATGCAGAGGATTTCTCCCTTGTATGGATCCTCTGATGTACTTTAAGGGATGAATCACAACTACTAAAGCTTTTAGACATTCCTTACACTCACAGGGTGTCTTGACGCTGTGGGTCCACTGGTGCTTGGTCAGGGAGGAGCGGTACCTGAAGGTGTCCCCGCATTCCTTACACATACAGGGACTCTCCCCATTGTGAGTTCTCTGATGGAGGCTGAGGGATGAACTGTAGCTGAGAGTCTTCTCACAGTCGTTGCATTTGTAGGGTTTCTCTCCTGTGTGGGTTTTCCGGTGCTCGATGAGGGAGGACCTGTACCAGAAGGGTTTCCTACAGTCGGGGCACTTCTAGGGTTCTCACCTGTATGAGTTCTCTGGTGGAGATGAAGGCATGCGGCCCAGCTGAAGACCTTTCCACGTTCATTGCATGCATGAGGTTTCCCCCCAGCGTGGATCCTCCGGTGTTGGCTGAAGACTGATCACTGAAGGCCTTCGCACACTCGTTACATCGATAGGGTTTCTCGCCGGTGTGAATTCTCTGATGGGAGATGAGGGCTGAGCGTTTGCTCATTTTGCTAAAGCCTTTCCTACATTCATTACAGAGAAATGGTTTCTTGCCGCTGTGGATAATGTGGTGCTCCCCGAGGGAGGAGCTCCGCCTGAAAGCTTTGTCACCCACGCTTGGGTGGTTTCTTTGCAGAATGAAGCCTTTGATGCTGAATGAGGTCTGCCCTCTGCCTGAGGCCTTTGCACTCACGGGGGCTCTCCCCTGTGTGGATCCGCCAGTGTCGAGCAAGGAAGGACTTGGAGCTGACGGCTCTCCCACATTCGACCCCTGTGGGGTTGGAGGAGTGGCTTGAGTGGCCACTGTTTCCTGCGGCCTAATCCAAGCTGAGGACTCAAGGTCTGGAAACAAGTCACCTGGGTTCGAGTCCCATCTATGACCCACGAACTGTATGGCCTTGGACAGGGGCTAGGACCGCTCTCTGCGGCTCAGTTTCCCTCTCTGAGAAATGGGGTGAGAACAGGACCTACCTGTGGAGCGCGGCGAGCACGGGCTCAGCACTGCGGCGGGGGGCGCACTGCCCCGTGCCTCACGCTCCCTACGGCGAGCGCCCCCACCACGTGTCTTGGCGCTGCCCTTCCCCCACCCCGGCGTCAGGTCGGGCCTCGTGACTTGTGTCGACCAGTGGGGGCCCGCGGCTGCGCGCCGCCTCACTGCCCTGCGGTTCCGCCAGCACATCCCGGGCTCGTTCCCACCTCGGGGCCTTCGCCCTCACCACCACCCCCCCCCGACTCACAGCACCCTTCCCCCCACTGCCCGGGGCTGAGCGTGGACCTCCGTCCGCGGGACGGCCCTTCTAGCTGCCCGACCGCCGGGAGTGGCCCCGGGCCCCGAGTCGCGCCTCCAGTGCGGTCTCCCCTCCAGAGCACCTGCCGGTGGCCGCCCCGCTTTTACTGCCGTTCCTCGCTGGAGCGTAAGCGCCATCGCCACCCACGCCGTCCGGGCGTCCTCTCGGAATCGCGTGCGCAAGGGACAGTGGCACCTGCCGACGGACACGGCCCCACAGCTCGCCACGGGGCGGCCGCCTCGTCAGGCCGGGGCACGCGCACGCGGCCACGCGCACCGTTCGCTCCCCCAGGAAGCGCCCGCCCCGCGCCGCGGCACGAGCCACGACAGCCGCCCGGCCCCGCCCACCGCGTCCGCCGCTCCCGCGCGACACCGCCGACAAACCAGACCCCGTTCGGCCGTCACAGGGTCACGCAGGACTACGTCCCCATGGCGCTCGGTCACAGGCAAACCCGTAAAATGACAACCTACGACCTCCCCTCGCCCCACGCGGACGTGCGCTGTCGCACGGGCCCAGGCAGGAGAGCAAACCCCCCTCGCCCACCGAGCCCTGTCAGCGCCGCACAGGCCCCCCGCAGGCAGCGGCGCTCAGACAAAGTCACACACACACACGGCCCTGGGCGGACAACTCCAGGCACGAAACCCCACCCCCACTCCCACAGACCTCCCCGGGCGACGCCCGCGCCGCACTCCGGGGCACCAGCCGCCCGCCGCAGGCGCCCCACAGACGCCTCACCACGCAGGCTTGGCTGGATCACAGACGCCCCCGACACCACATGGCCCGTCACGCACACACTCGCCCCGCGACACGGATCACAAAGTCACGCTCAGGAAAGGACACTGCCCCGCCCGCCGCTCGCATGCCACCCGCGACTAGGGGCGCCTCGACGCAGCCCGGCCGGAAGCGGAAGCGTTCCCGGCGCCCGGGCGCAGAGCGCTCTGGGAGTTGTGGTCCAGAGGCCGGCGCGCAGGCGTTACGTCCCTGTGGCGCCGGGGCTTCATCCTCCGTAGGATCAGCTACCGCGGTCTGAGAGGTAGGAGCCAGCCCTGCCCAAAGCTGCCACTGCCCGGCTCAGAAGTGAGAGGTGGTACTCCGCGAAGGATAAGGGACCGGAAGGCAATGAGGGAGGAGAGGACGGTGCTGCCGAAAGAGGCGGCTTGGAAAGGTCGCTTCACCGTCAAAGAGACGACGTTTGAAGCGCGCGTCCAGCGGGAGCAGCGGCAGCAACGCTCCAATTTGGGGAAGGAGCGAGTGCAAAGGCCCTGAGGCAGGGAGAAGATTGATGTGTCTGAAGAACTGAGGTAACGCCCGCATAGCTCGGGATGAAAGGTGCAGGGGAAGGTGCAGGGGAGGAGGCTGGAGAGCCCGCCCGAGGCGGTGAAGGGCGCCGAAGGGCTGCAGCAGGGGGGTGGCGCGTCCTGGTTTATACTTTCTCAGGAGCCCTCGGCTTCCTTCCTTACGTTCCTTTGGGAAGGTAAGCGTGACGGCTTCCGGGTGGAGGGTGAGTTTGGGAAGGTAAGCGTGACGGCTTCCGGGTGGAGGGTGACTTTGGGAAGGTAAGCGTGAAGGCCCGGAGATCAGAGAGGAGGCCGCTGCGGTAGTCCGGGCAGGGATGATGGTGTGCTGGGTGAGGGTGGTGGCCACGGGCGTGGTGTGAGCTGCGTGGGGTAGACATGCGCGTTGGATGTGCAGTGTGATGCGAAGAGGTTAGGGGTAAGAGACACATCAGCGTGCCTGCCAGGTTTCTGCCCCCAGCGCCCCAAGGTTTCTAAAGTCATAGAGAACTACAGCCTAATTTCTATCATTCAGAAAGAGAACGCTGAGTGCTTCTGGAGTAAAAATATCGACCCTTTCTCCACTCTCGTAACTTTGGGTAAATTGCCTAATCTATCTGAATTTTACATTCCTTATCTGCAAAATGAAGATAAGGAAGAAACTGGGGAAGGCGCAGGTATGGAGGAGGAATAGCGAGCTGCGTGTAGATTTGTTGAGTCTGAAGTACTTGCTATATATTCACTCAAAGTGGTTTAACATCAATGTATTCATTCACTAACCAATCATTTATTGAGTTTCTATTAAGCACAGCAACCGTCTTTTTTTAAATTTTTTTATTGTTATGTTAATCACCATATATTACATCATTAGTTTTTGATGTAGTGTTCCATGATTCATTGTTTGTGCATAACACCCAGTGCTCCATGCAGAACGTGCCCTCTTGAATACCCATCACCAGGCTAACCCATCCCCCCACCCCCTCCCCTCTAGAACCCTCAGTTTGTTTTTCAGAGTCCATTCTCTCTCATGGTTCATCTCCCCCTCCGACTTACTCCCCTTCATTCTTCCTCTCCTGCTATCTTCTTCTTTTTCTTTTTTCTTAAAATATGTTGCGTTATTTGTTTCAGAAGTACAGATCTGTGATTCATCAGTCTTGCACAATTCACAGCGCTCACCATAGCACATACCCTCCCCAATGTCTGTCACCCAGCCACCCCATCCCTCCCACCCCCCACCACTCCAGCAACCCTCAGTTTGTTTCCTGAGATTAAGAATTCCTCATATCAGTGAGGTCATGTGATACATGTCTTTCTCTGATTGACTTATTTCACTCAGCATAACACCCTCCAGTTCCATCCACGTCGTTGCAAATGGCAAGATCTCATTCCTTTTGATGGCTGCATAATATGCCATTGTGTATATATACCACATCTTCTTTATCCATTCATCTGTCGATGGACATCTTGGCTCTTTCCACAGTTTGGCTATTGTGGACATTGCTGCTATAAACATTGGGGTGCACGTACCCCTTCGGGTCCCTACGTTTGTATCTTTGTGGTAAATACCCAGTAGTGCAATTGCTGGATCGAATGGTAGCTCTAATTTCAACTGTCTGAGGAACCTCCATACTGTTTTCCAGAGGGGTTGCACCAGCTTGCATTCCCACCAACAGTGTAAGAGGGTTCCCCTTTCTCCGCATCCCCACCAACATCTGTCGTTTCCTGACTTGTTAATTTTAGCCATTCTGACGGGTGTGAGGTGGTATCTCATTGAGGTTTTGATTTGGATTTCCCTGATGCCGAGCGATGTTGAGCACTTTTTCATGTGCCTGTTGGCCATTTGGATGTCTTCTTTGGAGAAATGTCTGTTCATGTCTTCTGCCCATTTCTTGATTGGATTATTTGTTCTTTGGGTGTTGAGTTTGATAAGTTCTTTATAGATTTTGGATACTAGCCCTTTATCTGATATGTCATTTGCAAATATTTTCTCCCATTCTGTCAGTTGTCTTTTGGTTTTGTGGACTGTTTCTTTTGCTGTGCAAAAGCTTTTTATCTTGATGAAATCCCAATAGTTCATTTTTGCCCTGGCTTCCCGTGCCTTTGGCGATGTTTCTAGGAAGAAGTTGCTGCGGCTGAGGTCGAAGAGGTTGCTACCTGTGTTCTCCTTTAGGATTTGGATGGACTCCTGTCTCACGTTTAGGTCTTTCAACCATTTGGAGTCTATTTTTGTGTGTGGTGTAAGGAAATGGTCCAGTTTCATTCTTCTGCATGTGGCTGTCCAATTTTCCCAACACCATTTGTTGAAGAGACTGTCTTTTTTCCATTGGACATTCTTTCCTGCTTTGTCAAAGATAAGTTGACCATAGAGTTGAGGGTCCATTTCTGGGCTCTCGATTCTGTTCCATTGATCTATGTGTCTGTTTTTGTGCCAGTACCATACTGTCTTGATGATGACAGCTTTGTAATAGAGCTGGAAGTCCGGAATTGTGATGCCGCCAGCTTTGCTTTTCTTTTTCAATATTCCTCTGGCTATTCGGGGTCTCTTCTGGTTCCATACAAATTTTAGGATTATTTGTTCCATTTCTTTGAAAAAAGTGGATAGTATTTTGATGGGGATTGCATTGAATGTGTAGATTGCTCTAGGTAGCATTGACATCTTCACAATGTTGGTTCTCCCAATCCATGAGCATGGAACGTTTTTCCATTTTTTTGTGTCTTCAATTTCTTTCATGAGTATTTTATAGTTTTCTGAGTACAGATCCTTTGCCTCTTTGGTTAAATTTATTCCTAGGTAGGCACAGCAACCGTCTTCTAAAACGTGCCCACAAAATGTCTTAACAAAGTAAACTTTTGGTTTTTTTTAAGGTTTATTTATTTATTTTTAGAGAGGTGGGGGTAGAGGGAGAAGGAGAGAGAATCTTAAGCAGGCTACACGCCCAGCATAG